ATTCACTTCCTTTTTTTTGCGGTGTCAAATTTATCTTCTTACACAACAATTCGCTTACGTATACTAAAACAGGGAAATTTTTAGTGAATAAAATATTGWCGGAAAGACCAAAACAATGCAGGCTCAAGTTTACAGAAGTGAAATGCGCTTTAAATACCATCTTAAATACCTACTTTACTGAATCCCCAAATAACATGTACATACTGCTTGTCTGGAAGACTGAGAAAAAAACACGATAATCAGTTGCACTTCATAACTCTGGCCTTTATACATGGACGCTAGACCCAGYTGACTTGTGCTCTGCACTTCGTTTGTCCATGTTTTCCTTATACATCAGTTTAAATTCATGGAGATGAACAAATATCTGCTTCGCAATTTTATAATGACAAACAAAACATTAGTAATCATTCCTGAAAGATGGGCGCAAATCCCGGAACCAAGATTTAATTATTATAAAATGTAAAGCAACCTTCATAGGTGTTTACCCATCATTCTTCAAACCAAACAACAACAACCAACAAAACTTAAGTCAATCTAAAACTTACTTGTTCAAAGCTAGCATGCTTTTCATGGAATATTCTTTTTTAAATATTGAGAGAAGGTAGATCTCATCTATTATAACATGTAATGAGTTCCTATGAATTTAAACAAATTGAAACATTTGGAAAGTGTAAATGGTCTTCTTCACGGTTCCTTGCGCCATCTTGAAAGATAGCCGAGCCTGTGCATCGAAACGAGACGACCGTTGAGCCTGCAAAGATAGAAACCTTCTTTCACACCTACAGACAATTATTCATCTATCATTGCACCATCAATGGTTGTCTCGMTTGGATGTAAAGGCACGGCTGTCTTTCAAGATGKCGCCGGGAACCGTGAACGAGACTATTGSCAGCCTCTCTAGCAGATATCCTTCGATCATACATATAAACTTCAACAAACAGCCAAATAGAAATTTTCTTAAATTTGATCATCAAAGAGTTTGTAAACTTAAACGTATCAATGATTGAAAAGGTCAATAGACGAAACATGTTTCATTGAAAGTCTTAGTTTTAGTGTGTCAAAAAAGAATATTGTTTAAAAAACAAGTTCACATGTACCATGAAACAGTCAATCATACATATCTTGGTATCGGTAAGGTGTATCGGCACTGCAGCTGTTTTTTTCGAGCATACATTTCATTTTAATTTAACGTCTTAATAAAACTTGAACTAGATGGATYCCAAAGAAATGTAACTATAGCCAATCAGCGCAAAGCTAGCAAGCTCTTWAAGCAATTTAGAACAACTCATAAAAATAGCAATTGAGCTCAGTTTCCTGTATTGCTTACCACTGTCTTCCTCAAAAACTACTACTGCATAATGATTATTGTTGCATCCGTAACTTTCTTGACATGAACGTTTTTAAACTTTATATGCGAATTAACAAAACAAATTTATTGCATCTTGCCAAAAAAACAATCTTTTTTGCAAGAGCATTCGCGTTTTCCATTAGTAAAAACAGCAAAAAAAAAATGAAAAGTAAACTCACATTAAACTGTGGAAGAAGAGATTTCAACGGATTTGCTCGCGTCGCGCAGATTTGCTGTATCCTGCATAGGCAGCCCACCCCTTGCATATTTATTTATGCTTTTATTTTCTATACTTTATTGTATTATATCAATTCATATATACATTGATGAACGAATGCGAAAAAAAGCGAAAACACAAGAAGAAAACCGCAAGCGCGCGCGCTAAATTTACCTGATTCTTTGCTTGTTGATTTACTTTGGATTTATGGATTACCTGTGGCACTACGTCACGATCCCGCGCCTCGCGGGTTCATACTAGTCTGTGACGACACTGGTGAAAAACGCACTGCGCATGTCCACAGCTTTCCCGCTGAAATCTGCCTAATTTCCTTTGTAAAGCGATTTTTGTGAAAGTTTTTTACAATTTATAAGCTCGTTCACCGATATATAAGATTCATATTTCCATCAATCATTGTTCATGATAGGTCCTTTTAGTATGTAGTTTCTATTTTTATCTTGTCATTTCTATTTGTTTTCTGTGTCGTCGCTGTGAATCGCCAGGCGCTCTGTTTACAGATTTCAAGACGCGAGGGCCCACTGGCTGGAAAGCTGTGGGCATGCGCAGTGCGTTTTTCACCAGTGTCGTCTGTGACAAGGTATGAAACAACGGTCACGTGAGAAATCTAATTCTGCTCCTGTTTCTCCAAAGACAACAGTAAACGACAATTTTTCATACCTTGTCACAGACTAGTATGTAGACCCGCGAGGCAAGGGATCGTGACGTAGTACCACAGGTAATACACAAATCCAAAGTAAATCAACAAGCAAAGAATCAGCGCGCGCTTGCGGTTTTCTTCTTGTGTTTTCACTTTTTTCGCATTTGTTCATCAATGTATATATGAATTGATATTTAAGAAATATAAAACGGCGCGCGTGTCTCTGTCCTCTGATATAAAC